AACGGGTACGGCAAAACGGATTTCACCATGTTTTCTAACCTGTGGAGAATTGTGGAATGAATGTAAAACGAAAATTTTCTGAGCAACATGAAGCGACGTTAGCAACAAACAGAAAATCGCCTCTAGAGTGCATGTTTATCAACCGATTTTGATCGGGTTTCTTTCATTGTATTTCTTGTAACAAAGGGCAAATGATAGCAGTTAAAAATTTTCGATTTTCGAAAATTCGTTGCATACTTTTTTTGCCGAAATTAATCGAAAAATACTATTTCGGTTGTTATTTGGCGGATTGACTTGAAACTTACATGGTGTAGACCGCCAGCAAAGTGGAATAAAAGTACACATTCAAAATTTTTTCATTACTTCCGGTTTCGATGTTAGTACTTCCGGTGGCGTCACTTCCGGTTGAATTGATTTATGTCAAAAGTAACATATGCATTATATTACCAGCCTTAATACAAACCTTTAAAACTAAAAAAATTCGTACCTGAAGTAACATGTTTGTCGCCATATTGGTTTGCCTCATTTTTGCCCAAATCGATTCCCAGAATTCATTTTTAATCCGATTTGCGTAAAGTTTGTGTCAAACGATCTGTTTATTGTTTGTCTACAAATGATAGGAAGCATAATTTTGATTTTCGGTTTTGCCTTTTTTGTAGGACCGGAATGTTTTTTTCAAAGTTTGAAGGCGTATATCTCATGACCTTGACCTTTGACGACCTTCATATTTACTGTGATGATAATTTGTGACCTTGTCTATCTGATGATCTTTTTTTACCTTTGGGGTCAGATTCCTATTTCCGATTTTAAAGGGGTCTAAATATGGACCATTTTGAGTGCTATATCTCGGTCCCTAGTAGAGATATGGCAATAATTCTTTCGATTTTGTAATGTAGAAATTCCCAGCTTTCTATAGATATATAACATGCATACCTTACATGCAAATTCAAAACTCCATTCACTTAACATGTGGTTATTATTAGATAAATCGGTTAATTAGATTAACCTGGCTGTCAATCCCAATAGAAATCAAATTTTAAGTTTTTTTTAAAGATACCCTGCCTTTTATATTTCTTAAAAATGATCTTTGTCCAGTTATGGTTTAAAATTAAGCTCTCGGGTGGACTGAATCATGCCATATTGTAGTTTAAGCTCACGGCAGCATATTGAAGGTATACCTCCAACTAATTTACCAACTTTCTCATTTCTTATCCGATTTTCATCAAACTTGGTATGTATGTATGTAATCAAATTCTAAACTTGATGGAATTATCGAATTTGCGTAGTGCGCATTCGCATTGACAACTTTCTTATTTACTATCCGATTTTCATCAAACTTGGAATGTATGTGTATAATCAAATTCTAAATTTGATGGAATTATCGAATTTGCGTAGTGCGCATGCGCATTGCCAACTTTCTTATTTACTATCCGATTTTCATCAAACTTGGTAATGTATGTGTATAATCAAATTCTGAATTTGATGGAATTATCGAATTTGCGTAGTGCGCATGCGCATTGCCAACTTTCTTATTTACTATCCGATTTTCATCAAACTTGGTATGTATGTGTATAATCAAATTCTGAATTTGATGGAATTATCGAATTTGCGTAGTGCGCATGCGCATTGCCAACTTTCTTATTTATTATCCGATTTTCATCAAACTTGGTATGTATGTGTATAATCAAATTCTAAATTTAATGGAATTATCGAATTTGAGTAGTGCACATGCGCATTGCCAACCTTCTTATTTCTTTTCCCATTTTCATAAAACTTGGTATGTATGTGAATAATTCAATTCTAAATTTGATAGAAATTTTTAATTTTTGTTGTGCGCATGCGCATTACCGACTTTCTTATTTTTTATCCGAATTTCACCAAACTGAATATGTATGTGTTTAATTCAATTCTAAATTTGATGGGAATATTGAATTTTTGTTGAGCGCATGCACATTACCAACTTTCTTATTTCTTATCCGGATTTCATCAAACTTAATCTTTATTAATTGACAAATATTCTTTTATTCCTAGTAAATATACTTTAAACTCCAGGCACTTTTGGATATTTGCATTTAGAGATGCAGAAAGGTATTTACATAAAATAATTGCAATAGACCATCTTCGTATGTACCTGAATGTCGTAACCCGCCCTGCATCAGTACTGTTATTAGAACAGTTCTAGTTTGTTGTTTTTTTCGTCTACGGCAGGCCGGTTTTCTCGGCAACGGTAATAGGTACGGGAAAACGGACTTCATGGCGTTTTGTAACTCGTGGCTAATCACAGTTTAAATGTAAAACGAAAATTTTCTGAGCAACATTACGCAATGTTGCAACAAACGGAAAATGGACTAAAGAGGGCGTGTTTATCAACCGATTTTGATCGGGTTTTCTGCATCGTATTTCTTGTAACAAAGGACAAATGATAGCAGTTGAAAATTTTCGATATTCGAAAATTCGTTCAATACTTTTTTTGCC